TTCCTGTGTTCTGTTTCTTTATCATTCTTTCCTTGCGTGTGTGTAATTGTTGAGTCGATGAAATAGGATATTATTTACCTACTAGCGACTCACCCTCGCTTCGCTAGGGTTCGTATCTGGGTACGTTTTAATGTAATATTTGGATATCCTATGGGAACCGTACATTTTCCAGGATAAAAAGTAACGTATGTGATATTCTAGAGATCTATCTCAGTGCCAAATTTCATCCAGATCTGTTCAGCCGTTCTGGCGTGATTGAGTAACAAACATCCATCCAAACTTTCGCATTTATAATATTCATGGGATTACTAGCGACCCTCGCTTCGCTCGGATGCGTTTTACACGGATAAAATTAGTTATTGCGGAGCTTATATAATATGATTCTTGTGCAAAATACTATACACTTATTGTCTATTCTGTAAGCACTTTTATATAATTCTACAGCTGAATTCGCACTCGTACTTCATTTTCCCACAACTAGAAGTAATTTGAAAGTTTGCGGATTCAGCAGTAGAGTTCTTACAAAATAGGCCTAATGATCAAAGAACAGTTCGCTACTATGTCATAAACGATCTATGACCCATGTATGTATAGAAACAGGAGTATTAAACCTTTTAAGTTATGTTAGATTCTTATCTCCAGGAACTATAAGCTGGTCACCATGTACTCGTTATATGAATACGTCACTTATCTTAATCTAGCCTTGGTATAATATGAAAGTCGGTCTGTCTGTCTAGACGTTTTGTTATGAAAAATCTTAAGGTGCTTTAAGTAAATAGTTTTTTAGCTTTTAATTTTTTAATCTAGATATTAATAAGACGTGAATTGAAACAAAACTAATTTTCGACTTTAAATATTTTTTAAATTAATTTATAAGGCGTATACAATAAAAAAAAAGTAAAAAACTTTGAAAGCTTCGTTTAAATGTATAAGGAAATGTCTAAATGACATTTCGAAATATTTTCACATTTTTCTAAAAAGGCAGAAGAGAGTATATCTACATAATATGAGGAACTCTAAAATTTCGCTCCCAAAATAACAACCTCTTGGTAGTATCGAACCTACGACCTCTACTGAAACGTAATACTGCTTCGATAGTCATAGAATTTTAAGTGACAGAAGATAATACTTTCTTAGATACGGGAGTATTTGCAATTTTAAATAAAGCTATCTTTTTGGGAGAATCTTTTCCGTGACCTTGGTTGCTGTAATTGAAATATCGAGAATAAAAATGAAAATAAAGCCACGACAAAACAAGGCAGGAATGAATCAAGAAAAACATTTACTATATAAATGGTTTTTTTGTGAATTTGTATGTAAGAGGTAATAATCTCCGGGACGATTGATATGATCATGAAAGTTTCATCAATAAGAAGACGTTAATCCTGATTGCTAAATATTAATTTATATAATATGCTTACTATAGTTGGGAACTGAGTAAAACTATGTAATTTTTCTTGTCTTTTTTATATAAAAAAATTAAACATTAAAAGTAATAGAGTAGAAAAACTAGTCTATGACTGGATACTTGCAACAAAGAAAACATAAAATTTTAATCGCAAATAAGCATAGATAATGATCATCTTCTCTGTATCTGTATAAGCTGTGCCCATTAAATCTTAGTGTATTACATTTAATAGATTAATAGTAAAATAAATTTTTATTGTTTTTAACTAGTTTGTTATTCAACGTTGCTTGACTCAGTCTTTTACCATCGTCCACGTGTCATTTAATATTAAACTATTTGCATTGTATTTAGCCCTTTTCGACGTCCCACTGCTGAGCACGGGCCTCCCTTCTATACGAAGGGCGATCAGGCCATAGTCCACCAAGCTGGCCAAGTGCGGGTTGACGAACTTAACATGTCTTTCGAAAACTTGCTAGGTTATCTCAGACATGCAGGTTTCGTCACGACATTTTCCTTCGCCGTAAGACAAGTAGTAATCATGTTGGAAATGATTCGCACATGAAAATGTTAGAGGTGCGAGATCCGGCATTTGAACCCGCTTCATTCGGTTTCCCAAGCGAGCGCGTTATCACTGGGCTACGGCTGCCTCCTATTTGCATTGAGATAGAAAAATGAGTCCAAACCCGAAGGTGTAATTAGTAGTCATTGAAGAATTCCAGTAACCTTCTGGCCCCATTAGATCAGCTCGATTACATCAAATTATTATATTTTCATTAATTGTATTTCAATCTGTTAAAAATGAAAATAAAAATTTTAATATTAATTAAAATACATATAGGTACGACGAGTACATAGTACATAGTACATACATCATATATATCAACATATAAGTGACTTACCCTCGCTACTTAGGGTATGTCTCAAATCTAACAATAGGTACCCTATGTACACAGGCCATAATCTATCTGTAAAATAAATTTTATCCAAATCAGTCAAGCCATTTCATGCACACACACAGTACACATACAAATATATTTTTTATTTATAATAGTAATAGTAGTCCGATATATAAATACTTCAATTTTCTGAAATTCATATAGATTAGCAAAATAAATAAAACAATTCAAACCTTGCTTCACAGGGTTAAGATTATTTAGCATTAATATTTATAGGCAATACCAAATTTGGAAAGCAAGTCAAGCGTTACACGAGTTGTAGAGTTAAAGCTGTATAAAAACATAAACATGATCACCACTATCAAGGCATCGTGCGAAATGTAGTATAATATTTTTTTAACGGTCCCATAATATTCAACGGAGTACTCACTCCGTGTTACACGTAAGGCTGAACATTAATGCGTCGTTAGCTCATTTTATGGGGATAAAAAAAATTAATCTGTCATCATGACACTTGTAACATGTAACGCTCATATTTTATACATTGATATGATTAAATTGCGGGTTTGATTCCTGTTAGAATAAAATATAAGTATATATAAATGGTAAAATGCGTTAAGCAAAATTCTTACTAATATAAAAAAATTTAAAGTAACTCTGCCCGTCGATACAAGCTTTAGTGTTTTCTTATATATACGAGCTTTCGGTTTTTTTGTTTAATAAGAAAAACCGAAACAGTCTTTTTTTTGGTATAGATAGGTAAATTCCATTCACATAATATATTTTCCTAACATTTTCAATAATGATTATGGTCAAATTTCGACTACTGGGCGAACACTACTAAAAATAACGAATATTTAAATCTACTAAAGATAGAATTATGAATATTAGATACCTAACAGTTTGTGTAATGTACAAAGATTTATGGAAATTGACATTATAAAATTTATTTTTTGTATGTGATTTTTTACTTCTTGCCATACTACCTATTTGTTCTACACGAGCAAAATCACGGATATAACTGGTTAAACAAAATATTTGTATTAAATTAGGAAAAATTTGGTTCCGCGTGATTAAATGTCAAATTGTCTAAATTCTAAACGTTTTTTAGTTTGTGCTTGCGGTTAATGTGTGAAGGCAATTTCAAAAACTTATTATTACACTCTATTTAAGACTTATACATCAATAAACTGGATTAAAATAAATGCCCACCATTCAGTGCGCAATAATTGTACCACAGATAATCTAAGATAATAAAAAACACATTCGATCATTCTTAATTGATAAAAACCATCTAGAATAGAAATAATTTTATGGCAAATTACACTCAAAACGATTGCGAACAAAACCATTGATTTATTTTATTAATAGCACAATTACGGATGCTCAAAATCAAAATTCACTATATAAATCTGCAACACCTTAAAATTGCCGAGTCGTGGTATTGAAATAAAATTAATTTTCAACTTTAACTCCAACCTTATTGCAATGTGATTGAGTTCAAAATTGCTTCGAAAATCCATTGATGACCGCTTTATAAGGACATAACTAAGCGGTTGTTGAAATATATACCGTATGATTTTATGTATAAAATTGAATTTTTCTTGCACAACTTTTTAAATGAGCAAAGTTAGTTTTGCTTTTAAAACTACGTTATAGAAAAGGAAATAAGGTTTACTTTTGTTTATATGAGACGTTATATGTAAGTTTGTATGTAGCGAGAGGCTAAGACGGCGCGTGCGCAACGTGTGTGGTCCTCACGGGGGAAGTATGCTCAACTTGGCTAATGATTTCTCAGTATATAAAATTGATACTCTTCTCTTCATTCTTGTATTGTTTTAGGTGGAATATTCTGGGGTTAGTTATATAATAAATGGTTTTTTGGTCACCAATTCAAATAAAATATTTAGATTAAATAAATATTTTAAATTAAATTTATATATTTTTTTAGTTTGTAGTTTATAAAGAAATTAATTGTTATAAATACTAGGGTTTAGCTGTGGATTTGCTTGGGTTACTTTTTGTTTAAATAGGTTTAAATTCAAGCTGATGATTTCTTGACTACAGATGGCTATATATTTAGAGATGTTGACATTTTCACGATACATTATTCAGGGTACATAAAATATAATAAATAATAATAAAAGTTAAAAAATAAAAGTTTTTTAATCAAATTACAGTATTGACTCGTTACACAATGAAAATAAGAATGATAATTTTCAAATTAAATAATAAAAAGTCAAGGGTATTGCAAATAAAGTGCCAAACCAAAAAAAACTTTAAACCTGACACCTTTGTGGTTATGTCCACCAATTATTGTAAGCAAGTGGAGCATACGTCATCTGTATTCATTATAACTCGTTTTGTAAGTAACCACAGATGCCACAACCGTAGTGGTTAACTTGTTAGGTTTTCATAAACAATATCACGGTGCCATTTGGCTTTATTTTATGATTTCCGATGCGATACAATTCGAACATTTATGGATATAAATTGAATTAAATGGCTGATAACTAAGAGACGAGGTTATGTTTATGCCTTATATAAGATAGAGATGATAATTTGAAAATATAATCAATTGATAAAGAAAAACATTATCAATTATTATAGACTTAAAGAACTTGTTATTTCAGCTTTTATGTTAATTTAAATGTTTTTTCATTTTTGTTACAGATGGTGTAACCTAATACGAAAATATGGCGGCGGTTTCCTCCGTTCATTTGCAAGACCAGATCAAAATTCAAGATCACAGCGACGATGACCAGGAACCCTATTCACCTAACACTAGAGACACAATTAGTCCTTATCACGAAGAAGAGAAGCAAGAAGAAAGACCAATACATTCATCTTCTTTCTCCATACATAATGTTTTGAAAAAAGAAAGGGAGAGCAATAGTCCAGAAAACGTCTTTTCTACGGATAAATTGTTGCAAAACACCCCTAATTTTGAGGATGGTTCGAGAAATTCTGAAAGTGTTAGCCCAAGATTGGAAGATGATCAAACTGATAGGGCCGATATTAGCGTTGACGATAATTCTTGCTGTAGCGATGATACTGTGCTATCAGTCGGCAATGAGGCCCCAGCTAATTATCAGAACGAAAAAAATGATCACCAACTAACGTCCTTCAAACATATTCAAACACACTTAAATGCGATATCACAGCTCAGTCAAAATTTAAACATCAACCAACCCATCCTTTTACGACCGAACCCGATAACGCCGAATCCTTTAATGTTTCTTAATCAGCCTTTACTGTTTCAAAACCCTTTAATGAATCAAGTGGATCTCAAATCAGGAATTCCAAGGATGTCGATACCCCAAAACAGTTTGAACTTAAACCAACAATTTAATATGGGTTTTGTGAGAAAAAACCAAGAACCGTTGAACAGAATCGATGAAAATCGACGTCAAAATCAAAACTATTCGCCAAAATCACCAGACAATGAGTCGGAAAGGGATTTTATTAATCAAAATTGTTTAAAATTTAGCATAGATAATATATTGAAGGCTGACTTTGGTAGACGAATTACAGATCCATTGACGAAACGAAAAACCTTGAAGTCTAGGCAATTTGAAGTGAAGTCTACGCCTGTGAAAGAAGTGACGTCACCGCCCAAGGATGTGGAAGCGAGAGTCCCGGAAGTAAAGCCGGTGGATAAAGGCGCTATTGATTTGTCTAAAGGAGATGACAGTGCCAGCAACGCGTCTTCGACTCCAGGTATGAATAAAAATAATGTTCTACTATAATATTATGCTAATACAAAAAAATAAATAGATAAGGTCAAATCAATCCTTGGGACAGATTTTACTAGTAGCCATTGAAGAGTATCACTATCCACCTCCTGGCTGCACCATCAGATCGTTGGTATCTCGTAGGTCATAGAGTCATAAAAAATAGCCTATATCCTTGTTCAATAAATAATCTATTAAATGGACACACACAACTTGCACTCTCGTATTCTTTTTACTCTCAAATTCCAAAGGGATGATAATTCGACACTATTGTGATCAGGAACGACGGTTTTACGTTCATCTCAAGGTTTACAAGTGTAACACTAACTTCCGGACTGTTACTGGACCTTTCATAACAGAAAGACTAAATAACTAAACCTGTACCGACCCGGGAATCGAACCCAGGACCTTCGGATGCTAGCTACTACACTACCATGGTAGTTTTATATATTAATATAGATGGGACGCAGTTGAAGCAGCAGACTTTAGCTTGATTATGAGCATTATTATACGCAGGTATCATATTTAATTAAAGTATTATACAATGTAAGATGTAATGTGCTAATATGTAACCGTTGCGACAGTTAGCTTTTGTGCACTTTAATAATTATATCAAACGTTCTGTTAACTACAAAAGGCAATAAAATGATTTTCTTTATATACATAGAAAGACATACATATCTAGGGATGTACCCTGGTGATGCTAAAAAGTATTTTTTATATCAAGATATTTTAAGGACACAATTTTCATTTAGTGGTCCATATTTTTTCTTTACTTTTATTTATATACCTAGGTATTTTTTATGAGTATGTACAGAAAACAGATATAGTGTCTGTCTTTATAGATGGGATATTTATTTATTTTGCTATGATTTTCTGTTTCTGTCATACTCTTGCATCCTGTTTAAGATTTCTCTTAATCCTTCATACAAAATGTAATCAAATCCATATATGTACGGACAGATATATAATAAAAAAGTCGACATGCGCTTTCTTTGGACGTTTACTGTATTCTTCAGACGCTAATAGCTTTATCCGAAACTAAGTACACACTTAGTATAGATCCACATGGATAACATCATTGACAACACGTTTGGCTCAGTTTGTAGTGACCCTACTTGCTGTGCCAGCGGTCGCGGGTTTGAGTCCCGCAGCGGGCATTATTGTGATGAGCACGAATGTCTGTACTCCAATCATGGGTGTTTATATTTATAATATGTATGTATTTAAAGCTATATATGTGTGGTGTATCAACTACTTGGTATCCATAACACAAGCCTCGTAGCTTACCATGGAACTAGATGGCGCTGTGTGTTAATGTCCCAACATATTTATTTATCTTAAGAGTTGATTGTAGTCTACTTTTAATCTGATGACTGAGCTAGAAGGTGCATAATGGAACTCTCAACGGCTACTACATTTTGCGTTAGGGCTATTTGTCTTGACTGTTTTCATACATTATAGTGAGTCAAAAAAATATTTCTTAGTATTAGTGTAACCATTTTGCATGTTACAGGTACTACTAGTGATGGACCTATGGTGTGGCCTGCGTGGGTTTACTGTACGAGGTACAGCGATAGACCCAGTTCCGGTAAGTTTTTTTAAATTGTTATGTACTTATAACAAACTGCCTTTATCTTATTTTTGTAAATATAAAATGTGGGTATCATACACAAAAATCTTATGGAGTAAATAATCTGAATAATATCAAAAACCGCATCAAAACCGTTACGTAGGTTAGAAGAAATTAGCGCACACACTCATAGACGTGTGTTGCGACTCTATTTGTGTGTGTACTTTCAAAGTTTTATTGTAATTTTTTTTCTTCTCTTCGGAGTAGAGAAAGAACAATCTACTCTGATTTAGCGTATCTCTTATGAAGGCATAGTGCGTTATATACTTAATCATTCTAAATTTTTATATTAATTAATCAGTGAGGTTTGCTTTGCACAGAAATTGAATTTTGGAATTTTGACACAATGTGAAATTTTCTTTATTTTACGATGAGTGGAAAAAATAGAATAAAAGTATTTATGTGTGTGTGTGTATGCTTGTTACTTGTTCCCGCTAAAGTGACTAAACGGATTTTGATAAAACTTAGCACACAGATAGACTATGACCTGGAGTTATATAGGCTGTGAAGGCACCTTCGACCGCACTCTAGTGAAGTGAGGGTCACTTGTATAGTTATAGGTATCAGTTTAACATTTTACTCATGTAATACGGTAAGCAACAAGTCTGATGACTTTGCAATATTATTTCTAGCCACAAAAACAAATAAAGAAAGAAGTAAATAAAATTCAATTCAATGCACAGTACATTAACCACCCCAAGCTTTTAAAGGGATGAAAAAATCGCTCCGAGTGGCTAAATCTCAAAATCATTTGTATTAATAAAAGTAAGGACTACCCTTATAAAAATAAAGATTGTGATTCACAGTTTGCTATAAGATATTAAAATATAATACTTATAGTAGTGTTACTAAAGAATTTGCTTACTAAAGTGTTAATTATTCATTAAATTTATTAATGCGAAAGCTTGGATGATTGATTGTTACTCAATCACGCCAGAACGGCTGAACGGGTGTGACTGAAAATTGGCACAGAGATAGATGCGTCTGGAATAGCACATAGGTTACTTTTTATTCCGGAAAATGTAAGGTTCCTGTGGGATAGATTTGTTTTTGTTTTTCACTAGGGACGAACCCGAGCGAAGCGAGAGACAGTTGCTAATATAAAATTTAAATATTTAAATATTTATCCTGGACTCTATATTCTTGCTGGTTAAAAATATATTATTTTAAACAACTTCATTTCTAAAAAAACACAAGTACCTTCTACGGGTAAATAATTAAGTATTAAAAAAACTAACAGAAAGAATTCGTTAACTCCACCATTTAAAATTTTCTTAAATTTTTGATATGATTAAAAAAAATATAGTGCTATATACAGCTATATTTCAAAAGGAGAGCAACCCTTATGTTCAGAGGGCTCATAATTTGACAAGTGTCCTTAAGGGAGTGCAGATAAAAGGGGCGGTGAGGGTCGGTGTTACGACGATAAGGTTTATAAACACCATGTAATATGGGGTCATTTAGCTGTAAATAATCGAGTACAGTGTAATACAAGTATTATAATCGATATGTCGGTTTTTGTTTATTATAGTTGATTTAATAAAATCTACTAATTCCACTAATATTATAAATGCAAATGTCTGTTTGTTACTTTTACACATTTATTACCAGTAATATTTACTTAAATATGGTGCTTTTATATAATATGTATATGAAATAAAAATCATAAAGAAAATAATAAGCTGCCAGCTATGAGCGAAACCTACTTTGTAAAAAATATGTTAATAAATTTACGATTTTATTAAGAAAAACTTGCTTTCTTAATTATCATTCAACTTAAAATTAAAGGTTTTCAATTTTAAGAAACATTTCATGGGATCTCTAAGGGAAAGAGGGTTCTGGCGGAGAGATACCTATAATTTAATAAGTCCCTCAGGGCTGAGATATAGGGGCGTGACATGGTGTTCGAGTGATAACATTGTGAATATAGTGTGAAGGGTTGCTTTATAGGGCTTGTTACGGAGAATAACTTCGTAGGGTAAAAGTACACTAGATAAATATTATTTGAAATGTTGATCTTTGGGGATGGAGTATTAAAGGGTATACAAGTAGAATTCACAGCAACATGGTAGGTTTTATTAAAATATATTAAACAAGGTTTTGTCAATTAACTTTTCTTGTTAATGGAAGCGTGCCGTTTGAGCACATATAACTTCGCCAATGTCGTGTAGAATGGAGAAGACACGACGGAGATTGGTTGGTAAAATAAGATCATTAAATCTATACTAAATTATAATGTGTAAAAAAGGTAGTAAATCCTTAAGGAAGTAAACCTTGGAGTTACAATAACACTTGGACAAAAGACAGCGCAATTAATCTTTATATATATATATATATATATATATATATATATATATATATATATATAAAACAACTTTTATGATCTTTATTTTGTTGGATTTGCCTTCACCCCGAATAGCAGAATAACTATTCAACATCGACAACATTCACGAAAAAAAATTTGGAAAAAAATCTATTCCATAGTAAGCGCCAAAACGTACCTAGAGCGAATCTGAGCGAAGCGAGGATGCGTCGCTAGTATATACAATTATAGTTATTTAAAAAAATGTTAGCATAAAGTCTATTTCTATTACACTTAATATGTTTACATATAACTTAATCGTTTTGTCATAATATCATTGTAGTCATACACTTAGTTTTTGAGATTAATATTCTTTAACGATTATAGAATTACGTGTTATCAATTCCCATTTCGAATTACAGGTAAATACTTTAACTCGTCAGCGTGAAGGAGAAATATACATACATATTTGAGTGAGTACATATGTACTCACTCAAATATTTGCACCTTCGGTAGGAAAGTAAAAATAGCCTATCTGTTACTCAATCTCTATCTGTGTACTAAATTTCATTCAAATCCGTTCAGCCGTTTTAGCATGAAGAACTAACAAACATACACACACATACAAAATTATAATAAATAATAAAAAATAGTATTCTTTATTGTATTAATATGAGAATTAATGTGTATTTGCACTCTGCAGGAGGTATTACAAGAATTCCTTGAATTAATGTAATACATAATATATATCAATATATAATAAATATGTGTACAAAAACGTCTTTCCATGCATTTCTGCACAGTAGGACTCTGGGAAGGCTTGAAAAAGCTATCATTAGCTTACGAATGCCATTATATACTATATAGGGGCTTGATAGGGCTATCAAGTGTATGTACAGATACATAAAACTAGTTATTTTCTATGGCTTTGTCCGCATGTTTTCCTTTCAATTAACTCTCATTAGTACACTGATTGTATGTGTAATAAAAATAATCTTAAACAAAACCATCGAACTGTTTTAATTCATGTGAACTGTACAGACAAATGAATGAATAAGATTGAAAGTTATAGTATATGTATCGAAAGTACGAGGGGGATCAGGTCATAGTCCATCACGCTGGCCAAGTACGGGGCCCACTATGTTTTCTTTCACCATAAGATAAGTGGTAATCAAGTTTAAAATGATTCGCACATTGGAATATCAGAGTTGCTAGACCCGGGGCATGAACCCGCTTCACTTGGTTTACTAAACGACCGCTTACTTCTGGGTTAAAACCTGAAAAATCATAAATATTGCTTAAATAATTCAACTAGTACACCTAATTTAGTTTTATGTTTTTCGTGATGTACACTTTAATGACAACCCTATCGCTTACGTAGAACTAAAGCGTCGTTATACTTTATTCAAGGAAATGTAGTAGAAAACACTTTAAATACTACAGATGTTAAGCAAAATAAATGACTAGAAAAAGTAGTATCACGTCGTATTTATGTCTGTAAAGCTTCTTTTTACATACAATTTATTACTCTGTTAACTGAAGAGAAATTCCCATAATGAGATTCTTGAGACACGCCCAAATATACACTATATTATAATATTACTTACGAGATCTAAATTTAACTACGAGTATATGTAATCATTTTTTGAAGTGAAAACTTCTATAGGCAGGTTTGGATGGGGAGTAAATTCATGTAAGTCGTCATCGACATGGTCACGTGACGTGTTAACGCTAACACTCAGACTGCCGATAGATGTCAAAATCAGATAAATATAAACAATATTAATTTATAAATTTTAATTTAAGATCAAACAATTCATTTGAATATCCAAATATAAGAACTGTTTGTTTATAGTTTTAAGTTTTCACTTCTGTCGGTAGTCTTCATGACTGCTTTATCTCATGACTACTATTCAGTATATTAGTGTTACTTTAAAAGAGCGGTTCTGTATATAAACTTCCAACCAAATTTTTACTCCTTTAGGGAGTGAATTTTCGAAAATCATCTTTAAGCATCTCAACTGCCAATTTCAAGATGTAGCATATATTTTTACTTTATGCGATCTCGTGATTAATCAATATGTGACGTTTTGCTATAAAGCTTAATACAATTTTATAAAACAATATTCTTGCTAGTGTACCTATACAAATCGACTTATTAAAAATTTATTTTTATTTCTTTCACTTTTATAACTTTCGCGTGACAAACGAACATATAAACAAAATCAATATTTATAAAGGAATAAGTTTTTAAGTTTTTAAGCGTATTTCCTGGCGGCAAAGAGAACTAACAGAGACGACTTCACGTTATGCGCACTTTTTGTTTTCCACGTATAATACACGCGTGGTCACGTCGACAGTTAAAATATAAATATTCTTCAGCACTTTTAACTTTAGTTAGTATTTTTAATGAAGGTTTAATCTATTCACCTTTAACCACCTCAGTCATTATACATAATTATATAAAAATCTCGTAAGTGTTCGTAATTCTTAATTTCCTAAATCTTGACCAATTTTGATGATTTTTTTGTGTAGGTATGAGGCTATTTGGCTGATTCTTAGCTATATTTGGATCTGGTAGGTGGCGCTGTTATCGAGATTTTCAGTTTTTTTTTAAATAAAATATATTTTTTATATATTTTTTCTGTGGCAGGACAACGTCTGGTCTGCTAGTATTATTATATAGAGCTGAAGATTTATTTTTAGCTATTTTATTCCTGGAATTAAGAGTCGGGTTTGTCGTTATTGTAGAGTGATAGTGAGTTTTGTGAGATTTACTGTTACTTAAGACAGATCAGTAATTATTGGTTACTTTGGAATCAAAGTAAACCTTGAATCGATTATACCAATATGTTAAAAACTAGCACACACTAATATCAAATTATATAACAGAAAGTTTCCTTTGGAAGACGAAAATCGTCCATATGACTTTAAGTTACCACTGTGTATCCTTATCTTTAAAGGTCTTATTACACTTCACTATGATGGTAATGAATCCAAAACTAATTACATAAAGAAAGCAAAAGCTCTAGTTCAGCCCAAATAATCTATAGGATTTTCAAAGTAAATAACCCCAAATGCAAATAAGATATTTTCAATATCACCAAGGAAGTCGCTGGTGCCCCCGAAGGGGTTAGTTAATCTCACCAATTTTGGAAAACCCTGCCATGTAATACAAGTGCGAATAGTTAGTGCTAAACGATTTATTTCTTAGATTTATATAAATATGCGATATCTTTTCTCGCAGATTTATTTTGATTTTTGTTTTCCAATATTTCTAATTATAGCAATCATGGTCACTGGAAAGACAAAACTTTGTCGGATGAAAAAAAATATTAACTTAGTTTTAAAATTTAAACCATTTCTTTTAACTGTTTAATGAAGTGTATCCGAGACAGGTCATTTGAGCAATACACATAATAGAAAATCCTTACTTCCCGTTGTCCTCGCGTGTGCACGTTTAGTAAAAACACATAATAATTCAATTAATTCAATTAATAATTCAAAAGTAATCATTTATAATTGCGTACGTTTAAATAGTTACCTTAGTTTGTAATTGAAAGTTTGAATTATTTATAAGTGCATATTTCGTTATGTGTTTATTTAGTTAATTTGATACGATAGATCTTGAGATTTATAAAATGTCTTAGACTACTTAAGTTTTGGATATATATGACTGCCTCGGTGGTGTAGTGGCTAGCATGTACGGCTGCACACTCGGAGGTCCTGGGTTCGAGTCCCGGGTCGGGCCAAGTTTAGTTATTGAGTCTTTCTGTATAGTAAGTCTCAGTAACAGCCCGGAGTTGGGAAGGTGGCGGTGGTTCACCCCCGTGTCTCGGAGAGCACGTAAAGCCGTCGGTCCTGCGCCTTAACTCTCACTGGTCGTGTCGAGCAGTCGTCCCACCGGAGTATGAGAGTGACAGGAATAGAGAGTGCACTTGTGTCTGCGCGTACACTTGTGCACTATAATATCTCCTGCGCAGTTGGCTAGTCTCAATGAGATTGGCCGCCGTAGCCCGAATCGGCTAGGAGAATATCATCACGTTTTGGATAATCAGTGTAATGTCTTCATACATATCTAATTATTATCTACATATACAAATATTATAAAGAGGTAAAGTTTGTGAGATTGTGAGTTTGTTAG